ACAAAATTACCATCAAAATATAGATCTCGACGAGAGGAATCCAACGGTGGGTAGCCCGTCAAATTTTGACTGGTGGAACACAAAGAACACCTCCAGCAAGACCATCGTCGTCGAATGAAAAAAAATTGCAGAAACAGATCTGCTCTCCAAATTGAATGAAATCGCCACCAAAAGAAAGAGCCCGACGAGAGGAATCCAACGATAGTTAAACCATCGAATTCCGACCACCGGAGAGAGAGTTATGGCTCCGGGAAGCAATTTCACCGGTGGGAGGTTTGTGGAGGCGGGATTTTGAATTTGGGAGAAGAGAGCAACCGAAATGTGAGTGTGTAGGATTTAAAACTGATTTTAAAAGGGTATTATAAATACTTCAGAGGAGCCCAGGGAGTATGTCAAAATATTTTCGAAATTATGGAGTTTCTCTTAGAGTGTAATCCACTTGGTAGTTAGTTCTATATAATTTGGAAAAATGAGATCTACAAAATAATCCCATATATATATATATATATATATATATATATATATATATATATATATATATATATATATATATATATATATATATATATATATATATATATATATATATATATATTTTAAACGACACCATATAAATACAGAACTCAACCTACTCCAAGAAAATTGGCACACAGAGTAACAAAATACATTAGCTGTTGCTAACGTGCGCGTTAAGCGCAATTTGAACTTCCTATATCTCCTTGGTCCTTCCTCTACCTTACATCCCCTCTCTCTCTCTCTCTCTCTTCTCTCTCTCTCTTAGTTGCAGCATTACACACTTTCACACTCGGTCGCTGTACACATATATTACTCTGATTTTATTTTTTTGACACAGCTATACGTATATATATATATATATACATATATATGAACTTCGGATTTTGTGTGGGGTGGAAAGAATTGGAGAAATGGATCCGCCATTAGTGAACGAGGCATCATTCACCGCTGCAGCCAACCCTTCTTCTTATAGTTTGGCTGGGCTGCTGTCGTTCCCGACGAGCGGCGGCGGCGGCGGCGTAGGAGGTGGACTGGGACTGAGAATTGGCAGCTTCGGCGGCGTCGGTGGAGACGGGTCCCTCGAGGCGGCGTCGACGGTGACAGAGCACGGCGGCGGAAATGGCGGTGCCAAGAGGAGAAGGGATGTTTCTACCAGTTGCCCCAATCAAGATTTGGTAATTCATTCCCTCTGTTACTGCTGTTTGGCCCCCCACCCCCACTCGCCGCCCCCCTTTTTTTTTTCCTTTCTTTTTCCTAAATTTGCATTTTTTAATCTGCAATTTTTATTTTTCTTTGCTGAGCCCATTTTTATTGAAGCTTTATGTGAGTGTGTGTGTGTGTGAGTGTGTTTTTGTGTGTGTGGTTTTCCTCGGGGGCAAATTTCGGCCACCACCGAGCTATGACCAAATTACAAAAAAAAACCCTCTTGTTTGGGTAATTATAGACACTCCCTCCTTTTAAATATTTTTACATAAAATTTATGTAATTCGGTTATTTACTGAATCAAATCGTATTTTTAGTTCGGTAAACGGTTTGAAATGTTGGCGTACCGAAATTTTGGTGGGGTTTTACCAATTTAATATCCCTAAATTTACCTCTAAAGGGGTATTTTCGTAAAATAGTACATAGTTGAGGGGTGGCTGTAATTACCCAAACATGAGGGGGTTTTCGTAATATTTGCCCTTTTCCTTATTAACAATGCTAAAAAATACACATTTCATAATCACTTGTGTGGATATTTTTTCGCCGGAGTTAAAAGAGTGTTGGACGGTTATGGTGATTTCTCACTTCAAATTCGATCGAAATTGATAATTTCGTTTACTGACTCATTTATCCAGGTGAAAAAAAAATATGATCTTTAAGATGAGACGATATATAACTAACTTCCAATTTTTTTTCGCACGTGACAGAATGAGTCGAACGCGAAACGGACAAAAGTATTTGGATCTAGCGAGGAAAACAATAGCAACTCGAAAACAGAACCACAAGCAGCGTATTCAGGGAGCAGTATAAAACCGATCGAAGAGAAAAATAAACCGGAACCCCCGAAAGACTACATTCATGTTAGAGCAAGAAGGGGTCAAGCCACCGATAGCCACAGTCTTGCTGAACGAGTACTTCTTCTATTCATACACCTCATTCGACACATATGCATATATATATATAAGCACATCTTCGTCGGTAGTTTCGGTTTTTCTGATTCGTCTTGTTTGTTTTTTTAGGCTCGAAGAGAGAAAATCAGCGAGAGGATGAAAATTCTGCAAGACTTGGTTCCGGGTTGTAACAAGGTTTTCTTTAGCTTTTCTCGTTAGATTTTACGGAACACGATGGATAAAATATAATTTTTCGGTTTTTGTTTTTGTTTTTTATTTTTAGGTAATTGGGAAAGCTCTTGTTCTTGATGAAATTATTAATTACATCCAGTCACTGCAGCACCAAGTCGAGGTAGCTCTCGTCTTATAATTGCATTTTTTTTTTGCGTAAAATTATATTTTTGCGGTTTTTGCACGCTTACTACTTTCAACTCGTGGATTGCTTGATCCAGTTTTTGTCGATGAAGCTTGAAGCGGTGAATTCGAGGTTGAATCCTTCGATAGAAGTGTTTTCTTCCAAAGACGTAAGTTTTTAATTTAATTTACCTTCGTATAATGTTTTATTTGCGGTTATATGTCACATCATTCAATATAGTATCAGAGCAACCAGTTCAAAAAAGATAATATAGACTTCGGGTGAATATGATTGATTATTTTTTTCTCCAATTTAAAAAATTAAAAAAAAATTAAAAAAATATTGAATTGGTTGCAGTTAGCACCGCCAGCATTTGACGCAAACGGGATGATATACGGGCCGCAAACACCGGCAGAATACGGCGAGAGATCGCAGGCGGAGTGGCTTCACATGCAAGTTGGAAGTGGCTTCGAAAGAGCTACATGACTGAACTGACTAGTGTGTACTTAGCAGAAAATAATCTGGAAAAAGCCATTCCACTTAAATTATTTTAGTTAGACCGTTTGATTTTTAGCATCGTTATATATTTGTAATCAATATATATTGTGTATTGTTAGCAAAACACGTGTTTTTACCTATATGTATATTTATTATTAATTATCAAAAGCTTTTGAAAAGTGATTTTGAGCTTTCCGAATCGCTTTTGAACTGTCTGCAATACCAACATTTGCTGAATATTTCTCTTAGAAATTCCAATTACACCACTAGGAATTCTACTCCACAAATTTCTAATCATTCACATCCCTAAACACCATCGAAAACCCTTAAATATTGGCCGGAACTCTGAACAATGTTGGTGGTGACGGTGGCGGCGGCGGTGGCAAAATTGGGCCCACAATTTCATGGTTTACGGGCAATATCACGGACACGATCACGCCAAGAGCCTTTTTTCTGCATAGCAAGAACCTAAAGAGAGAGAAATATTATAAATACCGGCAATTTATTAACTATTTGGATTCTTGCGAAAATTTCAAATACGAATGTGCAATTTCGATTATCACCTGATCACTAAGAAGACTTGTTACGGCAGAAGTAGTTTCGATGCTTTCGTTTACTATGTGGTTTTCCTCTTCTTCCTTTTCATTATCTATTTGTGGAGGTAGCGGATATGAAGACCCTCCAAACATTGCTTCGTCGTGAGCCGCCCTAATTTCTTCCTCCTTCCTCGCCTTTTTCAATAATGTCGAAACAAAATATAACACAAAAAATTAATATTCTCAAACATAAAAAATATGTGGAGAATAAAATAAAGGTTGAGTATTGTATATTACCTGAACTGCAGAGAAACGGAAGCTTTGACCCATGCGCTTCACTAATGCTCCGTCATCCTCCACAGCTGCCGATGGAAGCGAAAATATTATTTTATCATTCTTTTTAGATTGGAGTTTCAAAATATTTAATGCATCCTCTTGTAATGGAAGAGACCTCATTTTCAGGCATCCATGTAAACGAGTCGATTGAGAATTACTGTTACGCGATGGTTACATACCAAGTATCCAGTCATCCCGAATAATATTTTCACCCGTGACAAAACGAAACTGATACTAAGCCAAATTACCTTGCGCATGTCCAACTTGGATCTTTCTATTGCATTTGGTAATGACAAATATCATTTGTAATGACTAAAAAACGAAAGAAATCCGGATGGAAACTTAACTAATATAATATAATGACTAAGAAGGAAAAGCAGAAAAATCGAACCTTCAACTTCCTCATCATCAAGAGGGGCATCCTTGTTGAAGTCGAAACGCTCCCACCCGGAGCCTTTTCCAATTGTTTCGTCGTTTTCAGCTACAACAGCAATACTTTATGTTCCCATTGAATATCCAAACAAGGACATATTAAAAAAAAACAAAGAAAACCAATAACTACATATTTCGAACATCTACAGCTTAGATAAGCAAAAGTCACGTTAGATGCTATTTGATCTTCAGCTCCATTACTCGTCATTTTTTATGCCACAGAAATTTCTAAAAGCCCCTCCCCTGAAAATCGAGGTTTTCCACTTCACTTTAAACACTCATTTCTCAGGAAATCATTTGAAAAATTGGATAATTATAGGCACAAAATAAAAGAAACACTTCTAGAAAGCTCATCTATCAACACATTGTAGAATTTATGGTGGTGTTAGAATTTATGTTACGATCATTAAGCTCTCAATAAACAAGCAAGGAAAAATTAGAATTTATGTTACGATCATTAAGCTCTTAATGTTTCAAATACATTCAGGCTGGGAAAAAAGTGGAGTTAACAATACTACGCACCCCATTTATTGGAAGGTAGGCAAACCGAAACCGAATCAAAACCGAAACCGAAACCGAAACCGAAACCCGAAAACCCTAAACCCCGAATTATTGGAAGGTAGGCAGATGTATCAATATCAGAAGCAAATTTCACAATACTACAGTAGAAAGAAATGCTCAGTTACCACAACTGTATGTGTGTGTGTGTGTGTGTGTGTATATATATATATATAAATATATATATTGAATGAAGATAAATTACCAGTTTTTGAGAGCTGGAGTTTCATCTTGGCTTTGACTCTTTCAGCCGGTGTCTATTATAAATTAAAAAAAAAAAAAGCACTATTACGAGAAATTCACTTAGTCAGACAGACAAAACCATTACAGTCTTACTTAGCCAGACAGACAAGATTAGAACTTGCTATCACCGATTAACTTTAGAATCATATTTTACAGATACGTAATTCACCATAAACAAAGCTACATAGATAGATGGACTCGCAATAATTGCACGCATTTAACAAGTAAGATTTAGACCGTCTAATCGGGAAGTTCCGGACGAAACTAAAATCTAGGCTAGTAGTGGTTGAAGTTCCAAATGAGTCGGGAAAATGCGTGTTGCAAAGGAAATGCAGCTCGTGAAAGTAAACTAGAAATAACAGATGCCGAAAATTCCCAGCTTAAATCAACGAAACTTAAATAATTCTAAATTGTACCAATTAAATCCCTCGTTTTCAGCATTCGCATAATACACATCGGAATAAGAATATACCCTCGAGCAATATTTTTAGTGAATGAAATGCTGCGAAGGTACTTCTGAATAATTCTTCTAAACTTGAATGTACTATCGAATAATAGGATTAACCAATAGTCAAATCACTAGAACACGCATCTAAACTTCATCCAGTTATCATCATTGAATCCAATAAAGAGCTCAAATTTCTCGTCAGGTATCCTAAAATCCAAAATTTACACACTCATAAATCGAATTCCATGTGATTTATTGAAGGAACAACAATTCGAAAAGATCTAAATTCCCGAAAAGAGATTAAAAAAAACTCACCATATTGTCGTAACCTTCGATCGACGTAGCGAAATCAATCGCACTACCACTCCGAACCTCCACCCGCTTTTTACCCTTCTCCGACCGCCTCCGGTCTTCCGGCGATTCTCGCCGTTTAATTGTCTTTCTATTATTTTCTCTACTCCTACTCCTAGATCGATATTTACTTCTCGATTCATAATCTCGGCTCCTACTCCTTCTCCTCGACCGCCTATCACGGCTCCGGCTCCGGCGCCTTGAGGGCTTATCTCTAATTGTATCCCGGCTTGGACTCTGTCGGCTTGAATTTCGGCTAGGGCTTCGGCTTCGGGTTTTTCCTTTAGGTTTTTTGCTTAGCTTGTTTTGGATGGATTGAACCTGAGCTTGCCATTCGAATTCGGAGGTTTTGGAAGGACGTGATGCTCTGACGAAGCTACTAAGCAAAGACGAGGTGGTCGGAAGCGCCGAGCCTCTGGCTGGAACGGCGTCGTTTGCGGAGGAATTGCTGGACGAAAAGCCGAGACCTTGTTTGAATCGGGCGGCGCCGCCGCCTCTACGAGACAGGTCGTCGTAGTACGCGGCCAATTTCTCATCCTCCATTGGGGGTGGCGGCAGAAATTATCCGGCGAAGATATGTGGCCGGAGGAAGAAAATGCAGATTAATTTGTTGGTGAAAACAAATTTACAAATCAGATTAAAATTTAGACATATAGTTGTGAACTGGCCCAATATTAATTCACTCTTTTTTTTTTTTAGGAAAAATTAACTTTATTTAGGCATACCTTGCCAAATCTGAAGGAAGATTATAACCTTTGTTACAAGAGTCACCATAATTTTTAGCTATAAGATGAGCTAAAATATTTCCCGAACGTGTAATAAAATTAAAGACACAACTTGCAAAAAATTTAGCCACACACCAGCAATCTTCGACATAAGCGCCAAACGAACAGGATTGAGCATCCTCTCCTCGAAGAGCTTCGACAACTTTGAGGCAATCTCCTTCCAGAATAATTGATGGCCAACTTTCCTCTTTGGCTCTAGTCAATGCAAATAGTGCAGCATGAGCTTCACAGTCGACTGCCCTTGGTCGGCCTCTAAAGCTTCTAGTTGCCCAAAAGATACAGTGACCCTGCCAATCTCGAGCTATCACAGCCACCGAATAATGGTTTGTACCAGCTGGAAGAGCTGCATCAAAATTCAGTTTAATTATTCCTTCTCGAGGCGGTTTCCACTCCGTTGGATGAGCGCGTTGTTGTATGGGAGTACGAGGAAGTTGTGCTTGTTGATACAAATTGAGAAAAGTCAGACCCCATCTAATAAACTCGTCCGTCGCCATCCCTTGCTCTCCATGCATCTGTCGGTTTCTTGACTCCCAAGCTTTCCACACTACGACGACCGCCAAGAGAAAGAAATCCTCTGTTAACTGTTGCTGCCATTGAATTATCCAATCCCACATAGACACTGGTTTTGGCTGCCCTATAATGCCAAAAGGGTGTGACTTCCATATTTTTTCCATTCCTCGACAACGGAGAAAGACGTGCATAGGTGTCTCCCACTCTCTCCCGCAATGGTTGCACATTGGAGAGGTGACAATCTTTCTTCTAAACAGCTCGGCTTGTGTGGGGAGTATATCAGAACAGGCCCTCCAAAGAAACATACGAATTTTCGGGGGAAGTGCCAAATGCCATATGTGCCTCCATCTTCTGCTTGATAATCCACTCGACGATTCATTCGCTAGACCCCTATTAGCATGATAGTTGTGTGTTGTTACTAGGGCGAGTTGATAACACGACTTAACCGTAAATTTTCCGTCCTTCGTGTAGTGCCAAATCCATTTGTCCGATGCATATGAACTTCCAATCGGTATAGCCAGAATACGTTCTCGATCCACTGGCCAAAACTGCTCATTTATAATCGAGATATCCCACGACTTTGAAGTCTGGTCAATTAAATCTTCGACTCTATCTGGGAAACACGAGTGCAGAGGTCTTCGAGTAATAACTTTGAAATTTCCATCGTCGCCGAGCCATGGGTCCGCCCAGATAGATGTGCTTGAGCCATCACCAATTCTCTTTCTTAAACCTTTGAGCAGATGAGACCGTGCCTTAACTAAACTCCGCCAAGTCGCTGAAGGCCGCGAACCTAATTCAGCCGTGAGAACTTCACCATTGGAGAAATAATGAGCTTTCAGAATTTTGGATAATAGAAGGTCACGGTAATTTAAAATTCTCCAGGTTTGTTTGGCTAATAATGCTATATTGAAACTACGCAAATCCCGAAATCCAAGACCACCATCAGCTTTCGACATGCACATTCTATTCCACGCTAACCACGGCATCTTCCTGTCATTTCCATTTCCCCACGAAAACCTTCGGATAGCCGATTCCAGATCATTAATGAGACCCACCGGTAACATAAAGCAACTCATCATATATGACGGAATTGCTTGCAAAACAGCCTTAATAAGAACCTCTTTTCCGGAATTTGAGAGTTGTTTCTCGCCCCATCCTTTAATACGTGCCCAAATACGATCTCGAAGAAAACTAAAAATTTCTTTTCTTGTTCTTCCCATCGAAAGAGGCATACCTAAGTATCTTTCATGTCGATCCACCACTTGGAAACCCAAAATATTGCAAATACTCTCCTTCAAAGCCACGGAAGTTGTTGGACAAAAACTCACATTAGTCTTTTCAAAATTAATCTCTTGTCCCGAAATCCTTGCGTATTGATCAAGAATGTTTTTCATAGTAATCGCATCGGCTTCAGAAGCTTTACAAAACAGAAGAGTGTCGTCCGCGAAGCACAAGTTGGAAATTGTGGGAGCTGATGGAACAATTTTAATTCCATGAAAGTTACCTTCATTGACTGCCTTCTGAACCATAGTAATTAAAGCTTCTACACAACATATAAACATGTATGGGGACAAAGGGTCGCCTTGCCGAATACCTCTAGATGGACGAAGCGAGCCAAATTGTGAACCATTAAAGAGAAATGAGTACGAGACAGAAGAGATACACAACATAATAAGATCAACAAAACCAAACGACAAAGAATTTTTCTCAAAAATAACCATTCAATCCGATCGTATGCTTTACTAATGTCTAACTTGACTGCCATATAATTATTTCGATTACTAGAGTTGGACTTAATGAAGTGATTGATCTCGTAAGCAACGAGAACATTATCGGTGATAAGACGTTTGGGAACTAAAGCAGATTGGGTAGGTGAAATAATATCACAAAGAATCGGTTTGAGACGATTAGCAATAGCCTTTGATCCGAATTTATAAATCACATTGCATAGACTGATAGGTCTATACTCTGTCATTTTTCCCGGTTTTTTCACCTTAGGGATAAGAACAATGTAGGTGAAATTAAGGGCAGAAGGGAGTCTCTTATTATTAAGAAATTCTAACACGCAAGAAATAACATTAGACCCTAAGATATGCCAATGTTAGTATAAAAGATAACAGGAAGGCCATCCGGGCCAGGAGATTTTAAAGGGGTCATTTGAGAAATAGCACGGGTTACCTCATCAGCAGTGAAAGGCATGGGTTGTTAATTTTGTATATATATATTTTATTTTTGGATTTATTAGGGATAACCCCCTTGTTCATATTTTCTAATGAGGTAGATCCAATTTTTTTTCCCCTTTTTGAGATACACCCAACTTTGCCAACTTGGCAAAATATATTATATAATTTTCCTTTAACACCCCTGTTTTATTTTTAATCGGCATTTATTTCCTTTACTACGTGATTTGAGATTTGCTGATACGTTGCCTAAAATCACGGAATAAAATTATGTGAGATCATTGGCCGTTATATCAAATCGTGTAGAATTTTTTTTTGAAGATTTATCCAGCATTCTATCGTTAATTGGCCGTTATATCAAATCGTGTCTATCAAATCGTGTAGAATTTTTTTTTGAAGATTTATCCAGCGTTCCATCGTTTTATTTTCGCTGTATGTACAGGATTGTCGTGTACGGTGGTTAGACATTTTTAAGAGTTGTGTTGATACTTGATTCTATTAAGTAGAACGTTTTTTAACAAAATTACGTCGTCATGTATACATCGTTATTTTTTGTGGATGATGTTTGTTTGGAAGAGGATTGACAGAGTTAGAAGAGGATGGTTCACGCAGATCGGACCAGAGTTGTTTTATATGAGCTTCGTAGTTGGTTTATGCAATAATCGGAATAATTGTCCGCTGTGGTCGAGTTCATGTTTTTGATCCCGATCGATAGTTGGTTTATTTGTTTATAACAGCCGATTTAAGTGTGCTGGGTAGTACATTAAAATATAGTTCGTAGTCTTTTTTAATTCAGTTTTCATATATATTATTATTTTTCCAATAGTCAATTAACTAAACCCATAGTCGAATTAGATACATGGGATAGTCTATCAAAGATATGAGATAGTTTATTAATTTTAAAACACCAATCCGCCGCCGTCACTTCTCAAATCTAGGGTTTTGATGATTCTTCGGCCCATAGTCGATTAACGAGATCCATAGTAAAATAATACCAGTGGGATAGTCTATTAACTGATATTGGATAGTCTATTAAAAAAAATGCATAGTCCCAAAACATAAAAACCCGAAACCCCTAAAACCCTCCTCTCTTCTCGCGACAACTCTGCCTCAATCGGCGTTCAGTCCATCCCGATGACAATGTTAGCTATTCGGAGAATGTTTGGAATCTCGTCTCCCTACATCCGTCATTACCCCGCCAAGATCTCCCCCGAAGCTCCGATCTCCTGCGGCAACCCTCCGATCTACCCTTCCGAGCCCGCCCCCAAGGTTCTCTTTTTATGTATTCATCCCCACCGCATTTCATCAGCTCATGTTTTGATTTGTTTATTCATTTTTATTTTGAATAAAAATTGAAATTAAAATTTTAAATT